CATTGGAAATCACTAGTTCTCTTTTTCCTCACTTGAGATTGAGGTCCTTAAGGGTCAATAGGATAACAGAAACCACACTATGTGTTTAAGTTGAGCGCATTTATTACAAGAATGGTGCAATCCTTATGTAAAGGAATTGTTACAGTATTTGGTATAAAAATGTAAAGATTTTGTCTCTCTTGTCAGAAGCCTGATGGAACACAAAGTTAACACTCTGCTGAGCTGAAAGATTCTATGGGTACAGGTTGAGATATGCTAGACATCCTGGTGATGTGATTTTATACTGACTGCTCATGTGCAGTCTGGCTTGTTCCAGTTACCTTCCCTGCCTTGATGCTGATCCCAGCCGAAGATAACATTATCCACAAAATCATGGTATGGACAACAAACCTGGTCCTTTCTTGATCAACTGAACCTCAGGCAGGGGAGAGCCAGGTTTTGTGGAGCCAGTCATATTTTTGTTAAAGAAAAAAATCATTGTGATACTTGTCAACATGGAAAGGAAGAGCACCTGCAGTCCTGGGAAAAGTGTCAAGGCTATGCAGTAGGGGAAAGATACCAGCCTTGACTGTAAACATACTTAAGGAAAGCAAGGGTTGCAGAGAGCAGGGCCTCAGAGGGTAGGTGGAAAACTACAAAGAGTGTAAATCAAAGGAGGGGATGTATTACTATTATGTCAGGTTGGCAGTATACTTGAACTGAAACCAAGGTCTCAAGGTATCAAGTGCAGGTGTTAGAGTGGTCATAGGGGCAGGATTCTCTCTAAATGTTCCTAGCAGGGTGTTTATACAACCGGATGTGACAGGTCCAATACACTAATGCAAAATTGCCTTGCTCACTTATAGAAAGTTTCCTGCTATAATCTAGTCACATAGTGAAGAGATGCCTCAACATAACTTGATAGGTAATAGACCAAAAATGATGAGTACCAAATAAATGCTTGGGCTGGAAAGGATAGTGATCACAAGCAATTCACATCTACAAATTCTAGCTTCTGTGTCAAGTAGCAAACAAATAGAGGACTAGAACAAAACATTCATATCAAAACATGTCCGATGCCATATTGGATGAGTTTGAAAGCTGCCCGGTACCAAGGTATAAAAGTACTCAGAGTGAAGAGAGAGAACAATGTCCACACCAGCAAACAAGCCCAGTCTGGGAACCAGGGCCATGAGTGGGCTGTCACTGGGCTGAGAACAACCTCATCTCAGCCCTTTAAATCAAGCAGAATGGAAAGCAAGAAATACCAGCCATGCCCCCTTGACACTCTGCTTCTCCCGCCACCTAATCAATCAGCTTATCCAGAGAAACACAGGCTATGATGGTAGCTATCAAGGTGAAATGCAATTGGATGCCTGTGGTGCTTTGGTGATTCACTGACACTGCAGGTCTAGGGACAGTGATCTGATCTGGTCATAGGTTCAGAGAATAGCATACACAGCGGTGTCATCCAGGTAGGACCTCTTTATGAGAACTGCAGCCATTGTTGACCCTCTATGGTCTTGTTTTGAGGTCCTATATCATTTCTATGGTTTTGTTGGGTTGGGTTTAATTTTCTTTTGTTTTGTTTGATTATGTCAAATCTGATGGCAGGAGACTTTATTTCAAGGTTAGCAAGATATATTGTGGTGCCATTTTGGATTTTCTATTGGCTTGCTTTGAAATCCTTTATTGCAGTCATTGTTTTGTTTTTACTGTTTCTATTCTATTCTGTTATGATTAATTTTTATTATGTCCAAAGTTATCTGTAGCTATTTTGAAAACATCAAAAGGCATTATGATAACTACTGGTGATCTCCTAATGTTTTCAAATCCTGTATCTCTTATACTGGTTTGTTTTGAATGGTTTTATTCTGTTTTATCCTCTTTAAAATAAAATTTTAAAATGTTACTTAAAAAGTACTCAGAGAAAACTGCCTAAAGTTTGGCCAACGAAAGTCTTTATCACAGTTCAGAAAAAAATATACAATTTGACACTCATTTGTTTTTTTCTCAGTTAGAAAATATCACATCAAAGCCATGAAACCCAAAATGCTGAAAAATAATAGAACATAGTACCATTGTGAAATGGCACACTATTTTCATGAATGACATAGGTTATCTGTCTAGCACACTGGCATACTGACCCCTCATCATTTTCACTGATACTGTTGGATCTCATTGCTATAGGAAACACTTCTGTCATGGAATCTTTACACAAAGAATGGACACAGAAGTCTGAAGGCAGGATCTATTGAAATTTCTTTGAATCACTGATAGGTCCAGACACTTTCTTTATTTTCCCAAGTCAGTACCAGGAATGTCTAAATTTATTTGAAATCACTGTTAGATTTGAAAATAATTCATTATATTTGTGTCACAAAAGAGCAATAAGATGACAGGTTATGTCTCCACATTTCTCAGACAAAGGAAAGGTCAGAAGATGGAGCTTCATCATTTTGCCCAGAGAATCTTTCCTGTATCTTTGTTGTACACAGTGTAATGAGGGGAAGCCCACTCCCTCACAGTCTGGTTCTCAGTGGACCTGGACCCATGGCTGTCCTGGACGACCCTCACGCCCATGATGACCCAAGCTGTAGGGTAGTGACTACAGTGAATACTGGACATCTCCTCAGGACCAATGACAGGCTGCAGCTCATTTATAAAGTCTCAGGCTCCACTGATTTGAGACTAAAAGTCTGTTCTTTCTGGACACGAATAACTGTGGAAGGAACGTATGTGTGTAAGAACAGATGAATGAATGAAGAAGATGTGGTACCTTCCACACACCAGCGTACTACTCTGCCATAAAGCAGGATCAGCTTGAGTCCTTTGCAGGAAAAAGAATGGGCCTTGTGATCATAGGGTTAACTGAAATCCATCAGACACAAGAGATTAAATAACACACATTTCTCTTATATGAGACACCTTAAACATAAATAAATTAAAAGGTAAATAAGAAACAGGGAGATAGAACTTTTGCAAAGGAAAAGGGGACCAAGAAATGGAAGGCAAGGGGGGCAGGCAAAGGGGATGAGGAAGAGAATGCAGATGTGTTTTGAGCAATATCAACTCCCCATGAGGAATGTGAAGACATCATGCCATACACATGTACTAATAAAAGAGAAAAAATAAAAATCTAAGCTCTGTGTTTTCTGGAATGTGTGGCCCCGCTCATCTTTTCTATAGCCGTTCACTCCTTGTTGATCTGACTGTTGAACTAAGCATCATCTGGAAGTTGAAAGGGTTTTGGCCCAAACAGGACACTGTAGCCAAGGAGCTCCTATCTCCCCCACCCTTAGGAATTTATCTATGGCGCCAAACAAAGACCAACAATGGGCTACCTGTGCATCCTTAATGCCCCCTTAGGTTTCACCCCAAACCGAGGCTACTTATGTGCCTCACTCCACGGAGAGATCCCCCGACCCCGGGGTGGAGATGCCGCGCCCCAGCGGATGGGGGGGGGTGTCTCTCCTGCATTCTCAAAATAAAGGTCATTTATATTTATTACTTATCTTTTCGCCGCCGCTGGTCCCCCACAGTTCTATCAGAAGTCACCTTTCTTCCTGGACAAACTCCTACCTGTGGGGCTTGAGTCTCAGCAGCAGCAGGATCCAAAGGCGACGAATTTGCCATCCCCAAAGGCACTGAGTTCCCCTTTGGAGGTGACCGCAGCTCTCCCTCACCAGCCACTTCTGGCTTAGTGTACTTGGCCCCGCCCCATGGTCAAGCATTGCTTCCCTGACAGGAACGTAACTGGCTCTAACCCTGCCACACCCGAGATGCTGGCCCTGCTGCTGTTGGCCCTGCTGCTGCCATCCCTGCTATGGGCTGGTGAGTGACTGAGGAAGGAGGGTCAGCAGGGCTGAGGGTCGGGGCTGCAGCTGAGCTTCTGTGTCCCCTCAGGCTCCTACAACAGTATGAAGGAAAGTACAAACTTCAAGTCCAGCGACATATAACAGTGGAGGAGGGCCTGGTGCCCTGGTCCTTCTCCTACCCCAGGGGTGCGTAGCCTTCTTCTTGACAGTTCTACATGTCCTGGTTCCGGATCAGGTAAAATCTATACCATGGTGATCCTGTGTCCACAAACAACCCAAACATACACTGGAGACAGAGATGAAAGATCAATTTCAACTTCTTGGGGACAACCAGACCAACAACTACTCCCTGAGCAACAGAGGCATCAAAATGAAGGAGAGAGGAATCTACATCTTCAGAATATAGTCAAAGGAGAAAAGATATTATTATGAGGAAAATAAAAAAAGTTTATGTAAATAGTTCACTGGTTTTGCAGGTAACATGTAGGCAGAATTCCTAGGTGGGGACCTCAGGTGCTGGGCCTCACACATGAGAGCAGGAGCTGGATGTTAGACCCTCCTCTGTTCTGGTCTTGGGGCTGGGGAGGTCACAGAAACACGGGACCAGGACCCATGTGGACTCTGAGGCACCAGGCACTGTCAGGGTCACTCTGGGTCCCAACCTGTACCCTGGCAACTCCCTGTCTCCTCCTTGGCCTTCACACAGAAACCTGTCCTCCACATTTCTGATTCTCTGGAGTCCTGCAGCCCCACGTGCCTGAGCTGCTAGGATCCTACCAAAGGGGCCAAACCCACACCTTCTCCTGGTCAGGGGAAGCCCTCAACTCCATGGACCCAGGGAGCCTAAATTCTTCAGTGCTCACCCTCAGCCCAGGCCCCAGGACCAAAAAACCTGCCAGGTAAAACTCAGAGGAGCTCAAGTGACCACAGAGAGAACCATCAGGTTCAGTGTCTCCTATGAGTGCTAGGTGGCGATGGCTGTGTGTGTGTGTGTGTGTGTGTGTGTGTGTGTGTGTGTGTGTGTGTATGAAAGCTGACCTGAGAAAACTCCAAGTTGAAGATGACTCTGGAAGGTGGCCAGCAGAATGACCCATCCTCTCTCCATGCACACTGTAAACTGCCAAGCCCACGCTGCTCACTCCTGCTCCATCCTCTGCTCCATCCTGCTGCTCACTCTGATTTGGACCCTGTCTTTCTCTGCAGATGCTCTGAAAGACTTCAGCATCAGTATCTTCTTCCATAATGGACAGATAACCCTGTCATCTCTGGCACTGTGGTGTTTCTCCCTATAGGCTCAGGACAGGAAGGGTGACAGGGGATCCTAGGTCCTCAATATACTGGAGCTGAACCTGGCCACAAACCCATCATCAAAGTCTTTCATTGACAAACACAATAATACATTTCACTAATCCTTTTCCTTTCATCTTTCAATTCTATTCTGATAGCGATGAAGAAAATATGAAAATGTGCTGTCTTGACCATGTTTGTGAGTACAATTCAGCAGAATGGTGTCCTTTCATCCTGTTGTGCAAGTTATCTGCATGGCTCTTCCAGACACGAGACATGGAAACTGCAATTGTGGAAGCCAGTTCCTCTCTCAGTTCCCACCCCTCACCAGCCCTCTGATCTTGGTCTCTGTGCCATCCTTTTCTAACATTTCTCTCTTCCATCTGCTCCTTCAAGGGCTGTCCCCCTTGGTCTCCCATCTGATCATCATTATGGGATGTTCAACTGTCCCATTCCCCTAGATCTGCCTATGATCTCCTTTAATTTCTCTTGTCCTCACAGATCACTCATTCCTTGTGAGTCCCTGTCCTGATGCCTCCTGGCACTCCACACCCAGTGATTTCCCTGAATCTCAGATCTTCAACCTAGATGCCTCCTGCTGATGCCTCTCCCCTGCCTGCACCATCTGAGGAGCATCCTGCACTTTGCTCTCAGTATCTGCCTTCCTCCCGCTGGAACCTCTGAGTCACTGAGTCTCAGTAATTTCAGCCCAAATCATTTCCTCCTTTCCTTTCCCTTGGCCCCATTCAACCTAAATTTCCTCCTAAATCAGGACCACTGACTCTGTCTCCATTCCCCAGCTTCTTGTCCACCCTCTCCAGCCTAGGACTTAGCTAGCAGGATCTAATCCCAGAGAACACTTTAGTGCTGTTCCTACATGCTTCCTGTGGTGCACAGGGGGACCACCAGGTCTCAAAGACGAAGCACGCTATTCTCCCAGCTCCAGCCTGCATCTGAGCATTGGAGCTCCTTCCTGACAGCTGGACGATGAAAAGTGTTTCCTCACATGTGGGGGTGGCTCCCTTCTTTGAACAATTCCCCTTAACTGTCCCCTTAGTAAGAGACATGGCCTGCTGCTGACGGGATTTTCTCCCCTAGGCAATGACTAAGCACTGTGCCACATCAGCCTTGTTTGCCTGGGTTCAGAGGGAAGGGGAAGGAGACACTTGTCACCTCCACCAGTCTCACTGTGCATTTCTCACGCAGCTGTGAAGATGCTGAGCAATGGTACCTCCCCGTCTCTCCTGGAGGAACAGGCCCTGTGCCTAGTCTGCGAGGCTTGAGAGCAACCCCCCTGCCAACCTGACCTGGACCTGGAAGAGAAAAGCCCTGTGTCCCAAACTGGTCTCTGGATCAGGAGTCCTGGAGCTGTCCCATGTCAGGGCTGATGATGGAGGGGGATTCATCTGCTAGGCTCAGCACCAACTGGGCTCCCAGCACTTTTTCTTGAACCTCTGAACCTCTCCTTGAACAGCACAGGATCTGGGGCCACAGCCTGGCAGGAGGTTCAGATGGGGGAGAGGCCAGGAATGGGACCAGTATACTATCCCCTCTCCTTTCCCTTCTTGCATCTGTAAGGCTGAGAAGCAGGAGGGCTCCTGGCCCTTGGTCCTCACCCTGATCAGAGGGAGCCTCATGGGGGCTGGCTTTCTGCTCACCTATGGCCTCACCTGGATCTACTACACCAGGTGAGCAGGCCTGCTCCTCTGCAGGGCTCCTGGCCAGGATTCTGGGCTCCATGTGGGGCTGAGCTCTGCTCCCCACATGGAGCTAGATTTACTGGTGCTGACCTGAGTCCTGTGCTGACTTTGCAGGTGTGGAGGTGTTTAGGGGTGCAGCTCTGTGAAGCCCCACTGAGCTCCTTCTTCTCCACTCAGAAGGGAACCATCCACATGCAGACCAGACAGGAGAATGCAGGGGACAGTACTGCCACCTGTTCCTCGAAGCTCTGCACTCATACCCTGCTGTCTGTCCCTCTGTGTCCTGCCTGACCGGCCCTCACTACCCTCATCCCTGTAGGCCCTGCTCTGCCCTCAGCTACATGAGGCTCCCCTGTCCACATCTCTCTTCTTATCCTTCTCCATCCACAGCTGTGTAGGAACAATTAAGTTTGCTACCCAAATCGCCCTACCAAGTATTCCCAGAGGGCACTAGGGACTCTGGTCTCCCACCTTCCCTTGCAGCATAGGCACTGACACACATGGAGTTCTGAGTAGAGCTGTTGTTTCCCAGGTAAAGGTCCTGTCTCAGTATAGTTATTCTAGGATGCCACAGCATTTAATTATGCATAGATATTGTCATAAGCAAAGCAACATATAATTGAGTTCATTGTTTAATATCTTTGTGGGAATTTCTGAACAAGATCATGAATTGATCTTGATTTATTTTGCTTAAGAATTTTCGATGAAGGCTTCATGTTTTTTACCTTCTTGGGGGGGCCAGGATGGAGAATGATACACAGGGCCTTTGCATGTGAAACTCATGCTCTGTCTGAAACCTCTACTTTAGTGCTTCTGTAGTCATTCTTTGATGCATAAATTAGAGTCACCATGAACACCTGAAGAGTATGGTGGAGAGGATTCATGCAGATGGACCCATCCTGGACTCCACCACCGGGCTCAGTGTGCAGATTCTTTCCAGCCCTGGTCTCTCACTATCTGGATCTGCAATCCCCACTCCATTCCACACATCCTAGAGGTGCCACCACTGTCTCCCCCATCCATATGCACATGTGCTCCAGCGATGCGATTCATGAACTAGGAGCAAACATTGCACATGATTAAGTGTTTGGCTCTAAGTGTTTGGCTCAAGGCAATCACCCTGAATTATCCATGTGACTTCTTCTCTAGTGTATTTTTGCTTTTGGTATTATTTACAGTGAGGCATTTATTATGTGAGCCTCTGCTTTTCTTGTTCAGCCATTCCTAAAAACAGGAATTACACTGGTCTTCTACCAAGGAAACAGAGATATTGTAAGCGCAACATGGATAACCCTGGAGGGCTTTAGGCTAAGTGACAAAGTCAGACACAGAGAGTTGAGTACAGGATGGTGCTGCTCATGAGTGACATCTGAAAATCACAGAAGCTGCCACCAGGGGCTGCAGTTCCTTCAGCATAGTGACAGCACTGCCTGGGAGTCCCTGTCTGTCATCTCCGTGACCTTGATCATATTAGTTTTGGACCTTGGGCACTGTCTTTCACTTCCCGCTACTCTGCGTTTTGACCTTCAGAACAGTTCCTGCAAGGCAAGGTGGCACATCTCTGTGTTCCTGGCACTTAGGAGTCTGTGACACAAGGATCATTGCAAATTTGAGTCCAGTCTGGGCTACAAAGTTAGCTGATGGCCAGACAACTTGAAAGTGAGACCCTGTCTGAAAAAGACCCAGATTTAAACAAATAAATAAACAAACAGATCCCATTTTCCCCTTTGTGAAAACATATTTGGTTGTTTTGGATTGAGATCCAGAAGCTGTGGTGGGGACTCTTGAATTCAGTTATGCTACTCCAAAAGGACCATTTGTTTGTTTGTTTGTATTGTTGCTTTAGCAGCAATTGTACTCAAGACAGTTTGCAAACTGTCACTTGCCTCTGATGGGTAAGAGTTCACATCTCCTCTGGGTCATCTCATCTGGAGCTGCTCTTTCATGGTGTGTTACACAGAGATCTGGTCCTGAGGTCAGCTAGAGACAAAGCAGTTGACCATATCCTCTCCCCCAAAAAAGGACCGGGTATTATGTTTTGACCCAAGGATTCAATGAAGCTTATTTTCAGGGATTATATTATTTTTTTTAGGTACAGCATAGGATATTCACTCATTCATTCACATATGAAAATCTACATTTATTCAAATTGTCACTGTGATCTTGTAGCGCATTGTCCTAACTTTCAAAACCCCAAATTCTTGTCTGAATTTCTTGTAACTCCATAGAACTATTGGTCCCAATCTCACAGGTGCAGCAACAGAACTCTCCTTAAATGAGCATATCTTGTCCATGCAGACAGCTCATGGCGTACCATACAACACAAGGGGTATGGACTCATGAAAATCCGTATTAGAGAAACACATCTATTCATTATCAAGTGTGCACCTTATTCATGCTTTGTGTCTGTACTCCGATTGCACATTCAGCAATAAGTCTCAAGTTCATCTCATTACACAGGTGTTTACCACTCACCCAAAGGCATCTGCTTGGGTATTTACAAATATACTTAATTTCAAATTGTATCATCATCAGTTAAAATACTACTATCAATAGATTTATATTTACTCATGTATTAATATTGTTAGGCATAATTCAACACATTTGTCATGTGTTGTGATGGAGCTACTAAGTGCATCCATCTGGTTGAAAACCTTAATGGGGCTTATTTTTGCAATAGGGGTATAACAAGCATCTTGAAAAATCCTTAAGGCTTCTTTTCTGATTATTTTCAGGAAAGCATGTTAGAATCTATTGTGTTAATATTTAAATTTCATGACGAAATCTGACAATAACCTCCATTTATTGTTAGAAAACAACAATATTGCTAACTGATAAGAGTTATAAATGTCACTGTGACAAAATCACAAAATTTGCTGTGATTTTCTTATTTGGCTATAAGTGCAATATTTTTCATGAATGACAATACAGCATTTCCAACTTATAACATGAAACTCCAGTTCATGAATTATTGTGTGATTTAAAACTCTGATTATAAGAAACCAACATTTTCCCTGAAAAAGGTGACAGAAAACCACTGTGAAATCATGCATACACAGTATTTACCTGTTTTTCTTCCTTGCCCTCTTTAAGTTTTGTTTCTCAAGACACCTACTGTACTTAGTTCCATCAGAATCTAATACTTGTTACACAATGACACAGCTGGTTTTTTGCTTTCCTATTTCTTTATATTTTTCTCAAGATTCCCTCTGTTTATGGTCACTAGTTCCAGACTGTCTTCCACTTGATGGAGGGGCTTGCGCTGGCCAGGTTTGGGCTATGCAGACACAGCAGCCACCACTGCTGCCTGCTCCTGCTCCTGCTCCTGGCAGAACTGGGACACTTCTCCGTCACTGTCTTCTTCTTTTCCTTGGAGTTTCCTCACTATCTCCAAATCACTGATGTGTTCTGAGAACTGTTCCCAACTGACCTCTTGATTCCGTTCTTATTGTACAAAACAGGGCCTTGAGATAGTGCTGATTAATCTGATCCTGTGGTCCTTTGTATGCAGTTTCAGGGTCTGAAGCAAGCCTCAAATGAAAGTCTGAGTCACAGAAGTCTCCGTCACCAGCTACACTGTGAGGGCTTTCCCACACAACTTTCTGTTCAGCCATAAATCTCTGGCCGTTATCAACAAATACAGCTGACCCTTGTGCTAAAACAATTATTACCAAAGAACACAGAGGTCTCCCTCCTGAACGGCTGGAGTTAATTCACAAAATCCATGGTATGTCACTTGAGCATTGTTGAGCAACTGCTCAGTTACTGAGTCTGGGGATCCACTAGCCACCTGTGATACAAAGGAATGTAAAGGTCAAACACTACACACTCCGCCGTGTACTCAAACGCGCGGATGCCTGGGGACTTCACGGGTATGTCCACATCCGTCTACAGTTTCTGCAAAATCCCCTTGGTGCCACTTATCCTCCGTTCCTAATTTAAATGCCGAATTTCTGAAACTTCTTTTGGTTTGGCATCGAACAAGTAATAGCCCAAATAGTCCTCCACCTATGCTGCAGTTGTTTCCATCTCTGGTGGAAGTTTCATCTTCCAAGCCAGAAGCAAAACAGTGAAGATTGTCAGCAAAGGGCAGGGCTGGTTGTCAGTTGTCATTCTCATTCTCATTCTTCTCATTCTCATCCTGGGTGATAATGGGTGTGTTCTCTTCCCTCCATCGGATCCACTTGATGAGATTCACAGCCTGCCCAGGAAAGCACTCCTTGGCAGCACAGGAAACTGAGCAGCCTTGTCCTCTCTTCCCCTTGTAGCACGGTGCTCGGCACAGTCAGTCCTTGCTTGCCCTCCTGCTCCTCTTTGGGATCCAGCTCTCTGCACCCTCCCTGCTACTGAACGTGGAGCTAGTGCTGCTCTCTCGAGGGGGCCCTGGAGTCCTTGCAAGGGAAGGAGAAGGAGGAACAAGCAGGAGACTGGGGGTTCAGGAGCCCTCTCCCCATCCCCCACCCTGGGAGCCGGGCCTCTGGTCGGCCCTCCAGCCCCGGTGTAGCCACTAACTACCCCGTTCCCAGCTGTTGCGACCAGGGTTCCGGGTCGATCCAAACCCCATGTCACTCTCCAGGCCTGGGGCCCGGGCTTCGCTCTACAGAAACTGCAAACAGCTCTCCTCAGACCGCGCCCACGACGTCATGACAGCCGCTGTGTCTCAGGAGTGCACCCTGGCGCCACACCTCACCGCGGAGGATGCTGGGAATGTGCTCCCGCGCATGCTCACAGCAGGACTTGATAACTGGCAGGAGCGAGCTCACAGCCTCAGTCTGCGCAGCACTCCAGAATAGATATGCCTGTGATACACTAAGATTTGTTCACAAGTTTTGAATAACTTTAAATTAACTTTCTGCATTCAGAGTTGTTTTCAAATTGAAAATTGATTTTAAGCCAATGATAGTTGCCTGCCATCACTTACTGTACCTCCCATTTCATTTGCTTCTGTTCTCATCTCTACTCCCATAAATACTAAAGTCTGTACTTGTCACA